TTATGCAGAATCTATTCTATATATGGAAGTAAAAAAAGTATCCAGTTATGTGTATATTCAATCAAAGAATAAATCTGGGTGATCAGAAAATTTTAAATTTTAAGTAAAATAATTTTGTCCTCTATAAAAAACTATTTTAACTTTTTTCTTCAAAATTGCAATTTTGGGGTCCTAAAATAATTTCGTGTACAAGTATATGATAGATATAATAAAAAAATATTAGAGGACTTGATAGATATAATAAAAAATATTGGATATCTATTTGAAAAAAAATATTCTCAATAGTAAACAAAAAAATCAGGTAACTAGTTGATATAAAAAAATAACTGAAAACAAAATAGCTGATATGTGTAATATATGTAATCAATAAGTTTACAATAAGTGTTTAATATTGGAGATAACTATTACACTTATCGAATATCCAATAGGTATAAGAAAAAGGTATATTAAGTACTTATCAAATATTATAATAAATATTTAATAAATATCTAATATGTCAAATTTTGACCAGTGTTATAAATATAAAATGTTTAAATAATATACTAGAATGTTATATTCTAGTATACTATAAATACAAAACATTTAAATAATGTACTAAAACTATACTTGTACACAAAATTATTTTGGAGCTCCAAAATTACAATTTCGAAAAAAAAAGTTGAAATAGTTTTTCATAAAGATGAAATTATTTTACTTAAAATCTAAAATTTTTTAATTATCCAGATTTATTTTTTGATTGAATATATACATAACTGGATACTTTTTTTACTTCTATATATAGAATAAATTCTGTATAAATCTCAAAAAGTCAAAATATCTCAAAAATCCAAAATCAATTTTGAAAACATGTATAACTAGAACAGTATATTTAGTATATTATTATTATGAAATATTTAAATAATACACTAGAACATTGTGTTTTAGTATGTTAGTGTCATTTGAATAACATTATAGAATAGTGTTTATATAATATTGTAACATTAGTTGATATTATTTAAAATATTGTGATAATATTTTATTATATTAAATAAATATCTCAAAAATATTTTTGTGATATTTTTTCAATATAATAATTTGGAATATCGAGGTGATATCTTCTAGATATTGAGGTGATATTTTTCAAAAACATTGATTTTAGCAAAGTATATGTTTTTAAGTTAAAATAATCTAACTATATAAGTGCTACAAAAAGACAATATTTTTAGAAAGTCATACAGAATTTATTAGTTCTCAATTTGATTTTTTAATAGTAGATCATGCAATTTTCAAACCTATGTAATGTTGTATGCTTTTAAAATTTTTTGATCAAAACCAATAAATTTGATAGCTTTTAACTTGATCTATCAAAATTAATGGTTAAAATTTTTAGTTATTTCTTTTAGACTGTACAACATACATTTAAAATTAGCATTTATTTTTGCTGGTTACGCACTGTAGATCTTATTATGTCGCACAAAAATTCTAACATTAAAGTGTAAAATTTAAAGATTGACAGCATTCTCGATATTCTCGATGGTAGTGGGAAAATTGTCATTTTTATCATCACAACAGAATCGAGAAGTAACTGAGCTGGGCTTGCGTTTAAAAGATGCCAGTGACAATGTTGTAACAAATCAATTCGGTTTGCAAGTTTCATCGAAGCGGCCAATAATAAAAAGGGTCCTTGAAGTTATGGCCTCTGGGATTGACGTGTCACCGCTATTCGGCGACGTTGTTAAGGTTGGATCAAAATTAAAAATTGCGATTATGAATTGCGCATTTATTCATAAATTATCTCTTTATTGAAGGTAGCCTCAACCAAAGACTTGGTACAAAAAAAATTGTCTTATATGTACATAGCAACACAGGCGGAACGTAATGCTGACCTTGTGATACTAGCAGTCAACACCTTTCAAAAAGACCTTCAAGACGAAAATCCTTTGGTTCGAGGTTTGGCCTTGCGTACATTATGTTCTATGAGGTATTAAACCATTATGAAATTAAAAATATTTCGATATGACAAGACTAGTGACAAAACGTTCTTTATTAAGGATTTCTGATTATGTATCGTATATGCTGGAGTCATTGATCCACGCATTAGGAGACTCTAGTTCCTATGTACGTAAGACAGCCTTGACATCAGCCATCAAAGTGTTTTACCTTTCTCCCAAACACGTGTTAGGTATACAATTGTTTTATAAATTATTTGTATTTTCACACAAAAAATTGACGCGAAAGATGCGAATCTGTTTTTGTTAAAATAGAAACATCCTTGATCGATCAAATGTATAATATTTTACGTGATCGAGACCCTGAAGTTGTAACGAACGGAATTGTTGCTCTTAACGAAATATTAAGTTCTCAAGGCGGGATGACTATTAATAAAAAGATTGCACACTATTTATTTCAAAGATTTCGAGAGTTTAATGAATGGCATCAGTGTTTGGTCATGAATATTCTTTGTAGATATAAACCCGAGTCTGAGGAGGAAATCTTCGAAATAATGGTATATAGCACACTTAATTGGCAAGAAGTCATTAGTTAGAATATTAAATATCTTAATATATTAAGTGTACATGTATTTTATAGAATCTTTTGGATGACGGTCTTAGGCATCACAATAGTGGAGTGCAGTTAGCAACCATGAAACTGTTCATACAATTAACCCTTGATATACCAGAAGTTCACGAGGACCTTTACAAAAGAATTAAAGGTTTAATTCTGATCATATTACCTTTAAATTTTTATTCGATTTTTTTTTGAAATAATGCATAGTTTTTTTTTTACTCTTAGAACCACTATTAACGTTGCTATCTTTAAGCATTCCCGAAATCATGTATTCATGTTTGGAACATCTATATTTATTGGTATTGGTATATCCATCACGCAAGTTGTTAGAGAGGGACTATAAGCAATTTTACCGAAGGTAAAATTTTAATTTAAAGGGATTTCTAAAGAGTGTAGCATCAATTAAATTATAATGAAATTTGCAGGATAAACGAACCATCGTATGTGACAATAAAGAAACTGGACTTACTCCAGGAAATCGCTACGGAAGTAAATTCTAAAGAAATAATTGATGAAATAAGGTTAGTAATATTTGATAGTTTAAAATAAGTTTATAAATTCAGAGTAATTTAATCATTCACATGGTTTTAATTATAGTGGATATATTACAAGCGATAATGGACAAATTACCAACAAGTCAATTCAGACTATAGCCAAGATTTCTCTGAAAATTGAAAATGTATTGACATATTCACTTGAGATCTTCACGAAATTTTTAGATGCTAGAATTGAAAATATCATATCTAATATTATAATGGTTCTTGAAGGTATATATAATTGATGAATATTCTAGTAACGTATTCAAAAACTAATTATATTTTTAAAATATATTGAAGGTTTATTATTAATCAAAAGGCCCAAAGAATTTGATGACTTATCACTTATGCTTCCATCAATATGGATGTCAATAGATTTGAACTCATTAGCAGGACCAGCATTTTTAAACTTACTGACAACAATTGGAAGTTCCTTACCGGAATCTCCCTACATTCTAGAATCATTAGTTAGAGATATTGATCATTATTCAAGTATATCATTTCATGTGCAATTACTTAATTCAGCTGTAACATTATTTTTAAAAAGGCCAGCAGAATGTCAAGAAATGTTAGCCAGATTGTTCAAAACTATTATGGAATGTACAGATCAATCAGAAGTTTGTGAGAGAGCAGAATTTCTTTTTCAATTGTTGAAATGTGATATCTCAGTGGTAAAAATTAATTTTTATAAATCAAATATTATTTATAATAAATATTAATTCCTTTTTAATATCCTTCTTAAAAAAGGCAAAGAGGATTTTTACATATGAGCCTTGCAAAATCACAATAAATTTGAATGGAAATAAGACATATAACCAGGTGATAAATTATTTATATTGTATTCAATTTATTAAAATAGTGACCTATTAATTTTATTATTTTCAATAGCTCAGACCTTTGCATGAATTTAATACACTTTCAGTAATATGGAGAAAATCACTCAATAAATCCATTATTGATAGTGTTGAATCTATAGTTCAAAAGAAAATTCCTTCATACAATATTTTGAATTTTGATAAAGTAATATTTCTTTTGCTTGAAATATTTTTAAGTTTTTTTTTTTACAAACATTAACTTTTTATATTATATATATATGCAGAGATTAAATTCATCTAGTAAAAATCTTGTAGATATTTTGGAAGTTAATGATTTTATATTTTCTAAAACAATATCTATGGATGCTAATACATTTAGATCCTGTTGGAAAAAATTTTCAAATAGGTATTTGTATTATTTAAAAATGATTTATTTATTTATAACTTAATTAATTAAATATTTTTTATTTGTTTTAGAAATCAAAAAGAGATATCAATTAATCAATCATCAACTTTACTTAAAACTGAAACAGTAAATTTGGATGATATTGAATACATGTTTGAAAAAAATAATATTTTAACCATGGCATCAGGAGATTCTAATTATGTTTTAAAGTTTTTCTTGTATGCTCAAGAGGTAAATATATATATATTTGTTTACTTATTAATTTTTTAATAAAGTTAATTTATATTTTAAATTTTAGGAAAAATCCCAAACAATCTTTTTATGTGAATTAAAAATTAATATTCAATTGGCATATATAGATATTTGTATTAAATCAGGTTATTTAATTCAAACCAAAAATGAAAAAAAAATAATTCAATATTCAGATTACTTTTTAAATTATATTATAAACTGTTTAAAAACTTTATAATTGATTTTTTAATTTAATAAAATTATTTTACAAAGTATATTCTTTTCAATATGTAATCTAATTAAAAGGTTTATTTTAAAATGATTAATTATTTAATTATTATATTTATAAATTTAACCAATTCTGAAATAATAAATAACTAGTAGAATTTACACTAGTCAAAAACTTAAAAATTCTATACATATTGGATATCAAATAAGTATAATATTTATCCCTAATATACAGTAGTTCACAAAAATACTGCACCTCCTGTTTTTTTGTCTTTAAGAAATTATACAGCTTGAATGATCGATTTTAGAATAATAGTTACTAAGCTCATTTTAATCCTTGAGTTTTGGAGATTTTTTTGAAATGTTTTTAATATCAAATTAATAATTTTGATTTTGCGTAAACAGGCAATTTATATAGTGAATTGTCACTTGATAAAATTTCAATTGTGAATAAAATTTTATGTGGAATGGTTATAGCCAAGGTGATTATAAGGTTGATAGTCCTTTCCAAGGAAAATAGGCATATCGAATTTCATAACAATTGGATTAGTGGTTACCAAGAAATTAACTCTTGAAAATTGAAATTTTACTAATAAAATAATTAAAAAAAAATTTCAAAATTAATTTCTCAATAATTACTGATTCAATTGTTATAAAATTTAATATGCCTATTTTTCTCAGGAAGAACTATCAACATTATAATTATCTTGACTACATCAGTAATTATATTAATTCAAAAACCTTCGAAATTATATTGCAATGTTAGATTTCGAAGGTTATCGATTGTGTCGCAACCCTTCGAAATCAAAATTTAATGGTTAAATTTTGATACGTATTATTTCATTATCAAAAACCTTCGAAGTTCAATGCTAAATTTTTTAACAATAATGTAAACTTTTGAAATTCAACAGCTAGTATTTTAATATATTTTATTTCAGGTTTATTGTTTTTGAATTACTTCGAATTTAATCGTCTTTATTGTAATTCAATATATATTGTAGAAAATTTCATTTTGTAATATTTTATTACTTCTGAATTTTTACATAATTTATTATTAATTTTATTATTAAAAGATGATTATAAATATTTTATAACATTTTTTTTTTGTTTTTCTATACATTTTCGTACAATGACACAATAATATATGGTAACCATTTTCTATATAATTCTTAAATATAACATAGGTTTCTATTTTCTGTACATCAGGAAATTTTTCGGGGCATAAATTTCCGTAATAAAAACGGGACCCACGGAAATTTACGCCCAAAAATTCAATT